ATTTTACCAGACGTGGATCGATGTGGATTCGGTATCGTTATTTTTGGAATTAATCACTAACATTTCCTCGTTTCTCTGCTCTCTCAAAAGGAGTTACCTAGGCTTTTTTTCACGTAACTGTCTCATTAAAAAAAATATTACAACTAGAACAAGCACCCAAAACACGTAACAAGAGGTCCCAGTTCAGTTGCTTTCACCATACAAGTGTAATACAACTATTAGATTTGAAGTGTCGTTCAGAATGTAATAACTAATAATAGTTAATACTAGTTGTATGTTCACATTTCACTATCCACCATTTCGACCACCCATGTGCCAGTTTTCAGTGTTTGGGCGAGCAATCAATGTTTTCAATGAGCGAGCGAGCGAGCGAAAACAAAACGCGATTAAAATGCGGTCGGTTTCCGGTCGGACAAGACCACGTGGTCGGAAATTAAGCGATAAGCGGTTGATGTAAAAGCGGAAGGTTGGGCGAAATGAGTACTGTATGACCATGTTTCTCGGTCGAAGTCTCGACTGACAATAATGCTGACAATGGACGTTAGATAAACACGCATTGTTTGCAATTGGAAGCTTATCACCCGTTATATCAGAATCGTCAACAACAGAGTATACAGATAAGATGTTATCATTTAAACCCTTTCAAAGATAAACATTATGCAAATATCCACGAAACGGCAGTTGTAGTCTTTTCTGCTAGTGTTTTAAAACACTAATTTGAGCAACGTTATTTCGCAATTTCGATCTTTTGTAAACCCGGGGTGATGTATCAAGGTCTATGGTAACCGTTTTATCAATTTGTGAAAAATCAAGAAAAAAGTGAAAATTTCCCTTCTTGCTACCTTAAAACAATATCTCTTGAGAGCCACAAGATCAGGCCTTGCCTTTTGAAAATGGTTGGTGAGTGAATACCGGTAGCTCCCCTGAAATCACTGAGGAGAGTTATTGGACTTATTTCAAACATTTTCTATATTTTGATTAATAAAAAGGTTTTTATCTCCCCTTGGTGAAACTTTGCACAAGCGATTGTTCACCTTGAAAGAAAAGGACTGTGGAACTGGAATAATTCTAAGCTACTGTAAAAGATTTGTGATTTTCACAGTAAAATTTTAAACGAGAAATGTTTTTTTGAGATAATGGTTTTACCAAGCTTAAACTTTCTAGAAAACAATAGAAATGACATGACAATGAAGGCTATTGTTACAAAATAATCTACTTGTAATACCGGTACTGTTATTCTAATGAGTTCTCAAGAACATTGACCGGTTTATCATAAATTTAGAGCTTGTATCACATGGACACCATGGCTAGGGGCGATAAATATAACGTATAGTGAAGGATAGTAGGTAATCAGTCTTTGGTAATCATTCAACATAACCAGAAGTTTTGAGCAACACCCCTTAAAAAGTAGTATCGGAATAATTAATAATATACATCTATGAGTGTAATATCTGGATAATTCTTTGCAATGAACTCGCTATATTCAGACAATACACTTAAGGATCAAGCCCAAAATGTTAGTATACTGTAAAGCATGTCTTTTTAGCGAATTTTGCAGGGAATCATCAAAGAAAAGAGATTCGCTAAATCAACATTTCACTATTACGTCATTTTACCACAATTCGCTAAAATAGTATGTCGCTTTTTTACCAATGTTTTATAGTATTTAGACCAACCAAGGACTGATTAACTTCCTATCGATCCCCATATCCCATTGACACTTGGTGCTGCACATGGCCAATAACGTAAAATTGATACGGCTTCCATTAAAAGGTCATTAGCGTTCACAGCTACAAAATCACTTCACACTATGCAATCTGCAAAAATTCGTCTGGCATAGAATTAAGCAGTTCAGAAAATGCAGCGAAGAGTGAATAAACTAAGTGTAGAAACATAGGTTCAAAGTACATAGATGCATAGAATGGATGAGGTACATTGACCCAGCATAAAAAAGAAATATACAATAGATGCAGGTCACAAACCTAGAGAATACAAAAGAATGTATTGAAATAACTGCAAATAATAGACATACCTTTTTGTTGAGTTTCAGCCACGTTGAATAACCTTTGCTATCTATATATTGCAGACCAAAGTACCAGATTTCACGTACCCCTATTGTTTTAACGACCTTAAAAAAAAACATTTTTTTTTATTAGTTTCAGTTTATTTCCACGCCAGGATAATAACTTAATGCATTAACTCATTGCCTTATAACCTTTTTACCATCAGACTTTCTCATCCAAATTTTTCTGCATTTTTTCTTGTATTCAATATTTCTGGAAATCTAAAATTTCAATTTTCAGTTTTTTGCTCAAACAACTTGGCTAATTTTTGTCTCATTCTTCTGACGGAAAGTGCAGACTACAACCAGGACTTGTGAATTTGTGATGAAAAGAGGGAACTGGTGGTGAAAAGGCTAATGCTGATTTTCCATATTCATTTTGACTGTCCGTTGAGGCTTTCATCCTGCGGTGTGTACATCCCAGACTGAGAACACCATTTAGGGATTATTTGGGGTTAATAATCCATGTATTTAAACAGGAGATGAATTTCAATAAGACTTGTACACGAACTCCAAAAATTCCCAAATCCTGAAACTTTCTCATGGGTATGTAAATGAAAGCTTCCTAATCATTTTCAGCAAAAAATGTCAGCCAGTTGACATTAAAGGGGCACCTTCCAGTTAAGATTAAATTCACAACAAATTTACTTTCTGGATTAAAATAACAATGGATAACAAAAGATAGATTAACATTGTAAACAACATAAACAATAGTGTCCCATGATTCTTTGGTGCAATCCATGGGATTGAGCAGTTCCCCTTTCAACTTCTAAACACACAGTGAACTAGGGCGACATACTAATTTAATTTCAGTCTACAGAATAAGCCATCAGTGTATAACATGCCAATCAATTACTTAGTTAAGTACAACTTTGAGTTTTGCTGCAATACATATAACTGAGATGAGTTGCAAACTGTTTCTTTTTCGTGATTTGATGAAATTATGTTATTCAACTATCGTGAAAGTCAAACAAAATTTCACTGATACAAATATTCTTGATTTTTATCAAGTCGTGGAAGTAAAAATAATACTTCTACATTCCAACTCATTATCACACAGAGTAATGGACAGGATACAGCCCCTTGGTAATAGTGTTGAATTTCATACATGTTGTTTCGACTAGACAAGAAAGGTCATAAACGGTCACACTATTAATATTGCATAAATGTTCATAAATATGAATAAAATTAATTACAAATTAATTTTCCTTGTTCAGAGTACATGTTAATAGATGCTTTTTATTTTATAACAGTTTTTGAACCTGAATGTCTTTTTTATGCGCAAAATGCAAGTGCTAACATTACAAAGAGTGATATTCCATGTGCGGAACTACATGACCAAACATCCTATGTAATATAAACTAATGTGATATCTCAGAAGTAACAAGGCCCAATCGAACACAAGCACATGTAGATCTTACAAAGTTAAAAAAAAAAACCGCAAAAAAAAACCTCTTCCGTACTGAATGAATCTCGGTCAGGGGTATTGACCTCTCATTGCGCACGAGACACACTCACCCAGGGTATAGCGTTCAGCCCTAGGCAATATTTAAATTCAATGAAACTTCCAATGAATATGTCATACATGAATCTATTTGGAATTTGTCTCAGTTACATAAGAACTGACTGGAAAGGATATAGTAAAGACATGTACTAAGAGAGGATACCTCCAGGATACCTTGATTACATGTACAATGTTGTAAATCATGTAGTATAAAGTTGTGCATTATTCCCCAACAAATTGCCACAAAGAATACTAGAAGAAAATTCATTTTCATTCTGTTCCTGTACGTTTCCTTATTTATATAGCCAACACAACTGAGTTAGCCGAGATTTCTGACTAATGCAAATCTAGAGGGGAACCAGAGTAGTGCTCATAATTTAGCAATTTTATTCAAATCTATGGTGGACTTGCAGTCTGGAAAGGTGGTAAAGGCAGGGCAAGCAGTCTGGAAAGGTGGTAAGGCAGGGCAAGCAGTCTGGAAAGGTGGTGGGCCAGAGGCAAGCAGTCTGGAAAGGTGGTAAGCCAGTGCAAGCAGTCTGGAAAGCCAGGGCTGCCGATCTGGGAAAGCCAGGGCTGCCGATC